GTGTGTGGAAGTCCTTCTAAAGTAGCTTAAGCTATTTTTGTGTAAGTGACAAGCCTTAGGTTGTGATTAATGCTATTAGACGTATGATTAGTACCTCATTGAGTAACTCGAAAATTGATCACAACTATACAAGTGTATGGTAAGTCCTTCCAGAGTAAGCTATCTTGGTGTAAGTCACAAACCTTAGTTTGTGATTAATGTTATTAGATGCATGATAATCCAATCCTTTGTTAAGTAATTAGAGGATTAGGGCTTGTTTGCAATTTATTCTAGACACAGTTTTCTATTCTCCAGAATAAAATAAAAAAATGTTCTCAGAAAGTGTTTTGGAGAACCAAAAAAAAAAAAAAACCAAATATTGCTCTGAAAAACAGAAAAGCAAAAATATCTTTTAGATGTTTTGGAATTATAGTTTTGGCGAATAAGGGATAATGCTAAAAATACCTGTTTTCATTATTTTTTTGCCCCTCAAAATATCAATTCTCAAAACAATAAAACAAAAACAATTTTAAACAAGGCCTTAATCACAACTATATGTGTTTGGTGGGTCCTTTTAAAGTAGCTTAAGCTATTTTGGTGCACGTGACAATTCTCAATTTGTAATTAATGTAGAACTCTAACAAGAAGAAGTGTTTAGTTAGATTATATTTCCCATACCCACAATAATTAATACAAGGGTAAATTTTGAAAACATAATTCTTAGCTGCGAAAAAAGAGTCTAACAATTTGGACCAGGGGGAGTATACCGGAAGTCACATTGTTCACAGCAATCCACAAACCATGAACTTTGTGTAATGCACAGGGTCCACCTCATAAAAAAATTAGACAGCTATATGGTTCAACAAAGATTAACCTGTAGGTGGAAGGACATTGTCCACAAATATGAAGATAGCCTTCTCTGCACTTAATTTAATCCTTTTGCGGATAACATACACAAACTGTCCAACGGTCAGGTCAGCAGGGACAAGATATCTGCAATTTATTCATTCAGTTTGATGACATAAAAGATGCAGCAAGCATCCTATAATCAAGCATTGGAAGAATCAAATGCAGATGCATAAAAAGTCATCAAATATTCATTCAGAAGTTCCATGGAGGCAGCAATGTGTTGAGGTTGAATATCAACCCAAGCCAAATTAATCATAAAAGAAAATCATCTATACTGAGGATCAGAGTAATCGGGATTCATCAAGAAAAGAAGGAAAGTGATGTGAAGAGTTCAAGCTCTTCAGTCTGACTGCATCTCAAGGTACATGTATGGTTATAAAATATTATTTATTACAACTTTGAGATGTTCATGCCAATCTCAACATGATCAGATGGTTAAGCGCTTAAACACTTGATGGTTCACACCTAAGAAAAATCAGAACAACTTACTGAAGTCAAAAAATCCTTCAATTATTGTAAGCAGCCTATCATGCTATATTCCAAACACATCTTTATTTATCTGTTGCTACAAACTAAAGATGTTATTATCACAGCCATTTAAGATGCAATAACAAGGCAAGAAGTATATATTCTATCGAGGTTTAACAGAGATAACATCAAATTCACCATAATATGTTCTTTTCCATTTGAAACATAAAAGCGCGATAAGCATACAAGCATGAGAAAATAAATAATCGAAGAATAATCTACATGTTAGATAATCTTACTTCTTCTTGTCAATACCAGGGATATCACTCCTCTCAGCCTTCTCTACAATCACCTTCAGGCATATCCAGAGACAAATTAACATAAAAAACAGAAATGTAATGCCAGTAGTATACATCTCAAGAACAGCAAGAGCAACAAAGGATGTTTTTCTCATAAAGATAATTCAACAAATAGGTATAAATATTAGCTATAAAGAAATCAAATGTACATTATAAGTATAGTTATGTTAAACATATGTTACACTTTACAGACCATTTTGATCAGGAATATTAATCTGTTTAGATAGAAAGATAGCATCCATAAATGGGAATGTATGTACATCTGGAAATAAGAAAAATAAGAAAAGGAGGGTGCTTGGGAAAAATTTTGATAATAGCAATCATGAATCAAGAGATGTTTAATATTTATCACGATGCTAAAAATAGAAAATATACAGTTAAGTTAATTTCTGAGAGAATAGAGTGAACAATGGAGGATGATATATCATGAAGATCAAATACAGTGTCTTCTATGCATTGTTCACGGTCAGCTAAGTTTCTCTTCATCAAAGATTGCTATACGAGCTCTTCAATGAAGATAAAGGATCAAGAATCCTAATTTGAACAAGAAAATATATATATATATATATATATAAAAGGAGATTTGGAAACAACATGCAAGTTTTAAACGCAATTTTTAGCTAAACCCAATATATGCTTCTATAATTGTATTGTTGTCTAGATTACTCCCACCATGATATAAATTGTGTCGTGCAAATTTTGTATTAAAAGCCGTATACGTATTGACTCAGTTGGTAAAAAAGATAGAAGAAAAACTACGCTTCTACCACAATTAGAATTTTGACTCAGTCGAAAAAGAAGACAAATGACACTAGCAGCATATAACAGCAAATGAAAAATGAGTACAAGTTCTCACTGGGATCCTGTCCGGGTATTTTTCCCTAATCCTAGCAGCCTCAGTTCTTCTCTTCTCTGTAGGAAAAACAAACAATTTATTTCCTTATTTCTCAGCTTAGAAATCAGAAAAACGAAGGAAGAACGAGTAGATTTCACAGTGTATACCCAGATCATGCTCTTGTTTGAAGTAACTCTTAGCCATTCCTCCTAAAAGACAACAACATTCAGTCAATTCCAAGCACAAACAAAATCTTCATCTTCGTCTTCATCGTCAGACAAAGGACATGCAATTAACAAAGCCCTCTGTCACTCAAAAGAACCAAAAAGGGGGGAAAATGAAAATAAAAAAGCACGATCTTTTATGGATTAAGAAAAACACAAACTCTGTTGTCCAGGAGCAAGGGGTAAATATAAAAAAAAAAACGCTTGATTACAAAAATTTCCTAACATGATCCAGAACAAAATTACTCGTAATTAAACACAAACAAGAAAAAGGTAAAAAAGAAACATCATGAGCCTGGTGTTCGTCAGGGAACAAAGAGGGCCCGGAGTGCTATCCAGTATAAACAGATTCATCTTTTCTCAAATCGAAGATAAAATTCAAGAGCCAAAAACCGTTAAGGACAATAGGGAAACCTCAAGTGACTGAGATTTTGCAGAGAATTTACTCTGGAACAGCCGAGAAAGATGGGAGGGCTATGTTGAAAAAGAAATGAACAAACCCGCAAAAACTCAGCTTTTACAAATTAAGAAATCAATAATACGATAACGATCAACAACACAACCTCGTGAAGACGACCAAATAGTTGAGCAGCGATTTTGATCAATAACTCCAAGATGCCCGTTCTTTGCTTGACGATGGAAAATAAAAATGACGGCTTGCTTTTTCAACAACTTCAAAGGTGTTAGCTCAAGCTGACACTTTCATTATTATTAATTTATTACTTTTTAAAAATCAAAAAATGTAAAAATACTTTATAATTTTCTTTTTTCAAAAGCTTCAGTACTTTTAAGGCAACCACAATCCAATACCTATTAATTTTATTTTAAAAAAATAAATCTTTTTCAACCCATTAAATTTTATTATGTCACGCTATTTTATAAATTAAAAAAGATTAACCTCTTTAATAAAATTAATAGATACACGTTTATTATTATTAACTTGAGAATATTATAAATATCTAGGTAACAAAACCTTTTTTTAACTTAGAATTTTTTTACTGCTTCATAATTAAATATTTAAATAATTAATATCACATATTAATCTTAAACTTATCATGAAGGAGAGTGTTCTCTATTTACAAGTATTCACCAAAAGATAGTCTTTTAGGTGTTTCGGTAGAGTAAAAAGTGAGACCTTCTCAAACTCATTTACTTAAACGAGGATATATATAACATTTTATTATTGCATACCTTTTCAATGATCAAATTTTTAAAGGTTTGACACAACATACTCCTAAAGTTTCATCCTACAACCTCCCTTACTTAATAAAGAAATGAACAATATTGGTGCTAACAAATCAATTGGCAAGAAAATAAAAATTCTAGATGATGAAATAAAAAAATAATAAAAAATTCTAGATGATGATAAAAAGCCTCTTGACTAATTTGGCTGATAAATACTATATTATTGTTTAAATATCTTTTTTGGAACATTTAAAATTTTTAATTTATGCTAAGCCACGTTTTTATCATTTTGCAACATAATTGAACAGCCAAATATATTTTTTTCCATTTTTAATAAATGTGCAGTGCTTTTTCCTAAAAAAATACTAAACGAGAAAACCAGCTAATGCAAATGGTTTTTAAAAATTGTCTTCAAAATATTAATATTTTTAACAAATTATCTTTGAAATATTTGGATAGGGTATTTTTACTATGCAATGAATGAGGACGTTATTATGGTATATCCCCCAGGGAACTGTTAAGATAAGAGACTGTTACATCTGCATCATAATTGGATGAGGTCAAAATTTGTGTTTCAATCTACCATTATTTTTTTTATCTTATTTATAAATTATTTTTAATATTTTTATTGAGATCAAAAAAAATTTAAACTTCATTAACTCTATCTAGAATTTCAACCAATTTTAAACTACACTTCTATTAAATATACATATTTTAAAAATAAAATATTTTAACATTTAATAACTTTTTTAAAATTTAATAAACGAAAAATATAAAAGTAGACATAATAATTATTGTTGTGTCTGCTAAATAGGATCACACCAAATACTCTCCCAACTATATAACTAAATAGGACAAGAACAATATTATAATGGCAAAATTGTTAGAAAAAACTCTACCAACTATTGATTTGTCCATAAGGACTTGAAAAAGTTTTTCAAATGATATCCTTCGATGTCATTACTTGAGAGGTAAAAATGACAAAATTATCCTCATCAAATGCTCTCTTCCCCCCTCCCCTCTCACACTCCCTTCTGATTTTTGGCAGCGTCATTGACATTGTTCTAGGAAACAACTCGTGATTCCAATGGCGGCGATAAGTGGTTGTGAGTCCGAGTGTAAAGGTCTTGATTTTGAAGATGATAGGAAAGCGAGTGAAGAATGACAAGCTTCTATCTTGGTTCGAACCTTAGGGCTTTTTCTACTCCCATAATTCGATGAAGATTGAGGTTGGATCCAAAAAAAACTTCACTCTATTTTTAATTATTAGCGCGCTTATTCTGATGTCTGGTCATGTGTTTTAGGAGACATTAGCAGTAGCAGGGAAAGGAACGTCAAAGATAGAGTTGCATTCCAAACAAAGTGAAAGGTAGAGAATATGGACGATGGGTACAAGTTTAGAAAGTATAGGAAGAAGATGGTGAAGAACAGCCCCAACCAAAGGTACATATATATGTCTGCATTGCTATTTATTTGTTACAAAGGCATGATGAAATGAAAACCAAACCAAATATGAAAAGTGCTTTTCTAAATCAAGAATTTGAGGTATCTCTGAGTGGGACAGTGAGGGAGGAATTTCTAAGTGCATGTAAGGAGGAGATAAAGATAGCAGGGAAGTTGGAAAAGGTGTAGAAGGCCCTCAAGGGTGCTGTGAATGATTAAGAATTAACCTATGTTCATGTGTGTTACTTGCTGGCTAATTTATAAATTTGAAAGATAACTTGGACTAAATTTAGCTATTAGTAGCATTTATAGACCTTTTGACTTCCTTTTGTTTGGCACAAGATTTTGTTGGACCTGTGCTTGATTGCATATTGACCTGTTAAACTTTTGGGATAATGGCTTCCTTGACATATATCAAATCCTCTTCAATTCAGTGGACCTACCAAAAAATCTGACTGTAAGCTCTAGGTTTGTCTATGCCTCAAGCGTTAGGGGTAGTCTATTCCTGGACTCTAGACTCAACGATATTATTCCCAAGAATTAAGATCCTTACTGATCAAACATTTCTAGTTCTGTGATAAGCCTAAAGTAAAGAACCTTTTTGTTACATTTGCTTTCTTTTGTAGCAAAGAGTTGTTGCCGAGTGAGTTCCTTAATGAACAGAGAGATGAAATAGCAGAACGTGAGTGAAGCAGCAATAGAACTTAAAGAAAAAATAGAGGAACAAGAGTTGCTACTATAATTCCTTTTGTTAATTCAACAGAGAAAAAAAGGGCACAGTTGATGATAATCTGTACATTACTGTTTTTGAAGCAACCAAGCAGCTGCCAATATTTAAAGAAGTTATTGGCTCTGATAAGTAACTGTGTTTATATGGGGGGATTAAATCAGTTTGGGCCCAACAGAAGTACCATTAATCCAAATTAGTCATGCATTAAGGGATTCGATAATAGGTCTTTGCCTTGTGACAAAAGAAGGCAAACTCTAATCAGATTAAGAGACTTAGAAGATTTAACATTTTGTTTGTAAGCGAATCACATGTTTTTTCTAGAGACGCTTTAAGTTAAAATACGAACTCTTTTATAAATAGGCAACACTCTTTCATAAGCTCTTGCATTTTCAATTAATTTGTCTTCATTTGCAGGAACCAAAGAAGTCAAAAACTAATTGGAGTGCTTGGGAATTAGGAAGTAGCGAAGCCAAAGAAGTTGAGAACTCATTTGGTCAGGATGATTGTTGGAAAACTAAATTTAACGATAAAGATAAGCATCAAATATGGAAGAAGGAACACAAGCAATGCCTAACTTTTGATAAATTATACAAGCAAACTTGCGAACTAAATCAGGAAAAGTCAAAGGAAGAAGTAGCGAGGAAGGAGAGAGAGAAAATAGAGTAGCTATGAACGCTACCTCACTTGTGTATTATCTTGTTGTAATGTAATTATCATATATTATCTTGTTGTGATGTAGTTATGCTGTTAAGGGATGTAAGAATATATTGTTGTTTGATAATAAATAAATTTGTTAGTATTCAATTATTTTTCTTGATGATTTAAATTAGTGTAATTATTACATATAATAATAGTAACTGTAGGTGATTTCATGAAAAATGAAAAAAATCAATAAGTGTTTATATTTGTGCTTTCAAAACATTTATAAGTGTTTTCATGAAAAAAATGAAAAAATATTCATAATGTTCATTTGCATTTTCAAAATATCAATAACTGTTTTCATTAAATACAAGATAATTTTTAAATATACAAAAAGCATATTCAAATATAAGGTGCGTTCCATATAAAATTTTGACATCAAGAATATGTTTTTCCAAATATGCAAAAAGCATATTCAAATATAAGGTGAGTTTTATAAAATCTTGCTTTTTTTTTTAATTTGTATGACTCGATTTAAAACAAAGTTACACTCATCGGTTGAATACAGGAAGCCCTCTGACAAAAAATTTTAATGTTTGGCCTCCATCAGCACAACAAATTTCAAGGTTCAATATTACCCCTAAAATCAAAAAATAGTTATTTATATCCTTCAATTGCTAAGATTTTAATTTCATCAAATTTCACCTTTAGTGGAACCTACATTTAAATTTTTTAATATTTTTAGTGAGTCCCACCTTTTTTTTTATATATTTTTAGTAGATCTCCTCAAGACTCAAGCCTTATCTCCTAACGAGTTTTTGTTTCAGCTTGTAAAAATTTAAACTTCACGCCACAACTCTTTGATGGTTCCAAGCCCAATTTTTCTATCATAATTCCTAACCCTACCCTTAAATATGCTATTGTTAAATGGTGCAAGAACTCTACCAATCATTGCAAGAATGTGCTTCTAGTGCACTCTTCAACTTAGCCATTCATGATGATAATAAGATAGCAATTAATGTGCTGGGTGTTTTACCATTGCTACTCCACTTGCTTCAATCCAAGAACGAGCAAATGAAAGAGGCAATGAAGGGGACAGAGAGAGGAAAGAGGGAGAAGAGAGAGGTGCATTTTTTAAAAAAATTATAAAAAATATTAAAAAAATGAAGGTAGGTGTGGAATTGAAATTCTTACGGCTGATGTATATAAATGACTTTTATTGATTTGAGGGCAATCCTAACTCTTTCTACTTGCTTGAAAGGCATTTTAAACTCTTAACTTAAAATAATAATAAAAAATATTAAGTGTATCTCACTATTATATTTTATTATTAAAAAATATTTAAAATATTCATGTGACTCCAATAATAAATAATTAATATGAGGGGTATAGCAAAATTAAAATTTTAAAATTGAGAAATAAAATTAACCTTAAATTATATTTAAAGTCATCTGTAAATTTTCAAAATAAAATCATAACTCTATTGCTATTTATATATCTCGGTGATATTCAATTATCATTTTCCCCGGAACATATCGATGCCTGAATCGTTGAAGACTTGGAAGTTATGAATATTATTACCTGTAATGTGATAGAATGGGAAAGCGCACTTGGATCTGCCTTCGATGTAGTTTGCGCACATTGTGAATTCGCTAATCCGCATATTGTCATATTGATTGGTTACGATTGCAGCATATTATTGTTATTGTTGTTCGCGCGGCATAATCAGATACTTCACCGGTTTCTTTCTCTCTCGTTGATTGAAAATCAGTTGGCTGTGAAGTTCGGCATATTGAAAGACCGACGCAGATAGAGTGGGAGAATGGGAACGAGAACCAATTTCTACAAGAACCCATCTATCTCCTACAAAAAACACTTTAGTCTTTCCTCTGTTCTTCAGAACCTCAGAGGTCATGCTTCGCTTCAATTTTTTGCTTTTAATCATTTTATATTCAATTTAGCTCAGAGTCAGGCATCTGGTTTTCGCAATTTGCAGCTTACAACATCGCTACTGGCAATGTTCCCTCCGAATCAGAGGAGGAAAAGCCCACCCAGAAACGTCGCCGGAAGCAGAGCCCACCGCAAACCCTTGAAGCTGGCACTGAAGAGAATGACATCTCTATGTCACATCACGATTACATTGAAAAAAGAAGGCACGTATTCTTATCTTTTGCTCCATTATTAGTTTCAAATTTGATATTTATAGCCACATCCAGTGCAGTCTTTTACCACTTCATGGTCTATGAACTTCTTTGATTCTTTCTACTTGGGGAATTGATTTATTTGTTCTTGACCAGGAAAGAAGTCAGTTCGTCTCAGCCTTACGAAAAATTGACTGAAGATGTTCTGGTAATTCAGTTAGTGGGGCTTGTCTGATATCTTTCAAGCTACTCTTTCTCTCTCATCTTCTGTTTTTGATGTTTTGGTTTCTCTGTGGCAGGGTAACCCTAATTCGGTCATAAGCTTGGTGGATTATACTAGTAAGTTTATGAAACATTTTACATCACTGATATACTGTTGAAAGATGAGGGTAGTTATGTTAGTTAGATGCAAAGAGAATGAAATTAGAAGTTGGGTAAAGCGTGTGAATTCCCCAGAATGTGCTGTGCGGTTAAGATAGGTAGTGTATATATGTAGTGATTGAGATGAAATACACTACTTTTGTTCATATTCAATTTTGCATCCTGTTCTTCATTGGGTTTAGCTTTCAGCCTTTCTCCTCAAGCTTCAACTTATTGTTAGTTTGTTTCTCGTTTAAATGAAGTAAATTGGAAACTAGGAAATCATATTTTGGATTCATTGGATTCTTTCAACACTTAACGGCCATTGATCTTTATTCTGCCTTCCTTCAGAATAAAATATACTATTTTATTCTGCTGAAGGCATGCATTGTTATAGTGTTACTCCTTGTGTGTTGATTTGTCCATGATTGGTTAGCTAATCAACCATGGTTGATTCTTTGGAAAAATTTAAAGAAAATTCTAGCAGTTAGCCATGTTTTTGTTAACTTTTCATTATCTTCATGGATGCTCAGGTGATGAAAGCCTTCCTTCAGAATGTGACAAAAAGCAGGATCTTCCAACTTCTGGTTTGTTTCTTGATATGCATAATTACAAGTTTTCGTTAGACATCTTATTTTTATTTCTATGTTAGTATCATAGTGTCCTAAATGTCTTATTTGAATTGGGGCATTACTCAGGCAACTCGAAAGAATTTGACGGAGTCAAAAGCAGAAATGAACAACGATTTCCTCTTCCTGGAGAACCAGTTTGCCTCATATGTGGTAGATATGGAGAATACATATGCAATGAGGTGAGCTATGTGATATTTGTACTGATGATAGCTGATACTATACATTTTGCGCTTTGTGCAATGACTGGTCCTTTTAATATTTATGTGCTTTGATAGACAGATGATGACATTTGTAGTATGGAGTGCAAAAAGGAACTCTTGGAAATTCTTCAACTCAATGAGGTGCTTTTATTGTCAGATATTTGTAACAAGAGTTCCACATGCTCTGCTTTCTAAATCTTCTCTTTTTAATTCATGCTGATCTCAGGGCTCCTCTCATGACCAAGTTCAAGATTTCTCTTCATCCAGACTTGATTATGGTTTAGTAGTGCCTGTCTTTGGTGAGAGTACATGGGATTATAACCGGCATCACTGGTCAAAAACAAGATCAAGCCTTTGTACTTATGAATGGTATATTTCTGCTTCAAACATCCCATCCTTTATAATTATCTGCTCATCTACTCAAATAACATTTTCGATGCTACACTGATATTGACCTATTTTTAATACCAATTGTATTGCTTGGAATGCTCAAGGAACTTTAAATGCCAATATCCCCATCCTTAGTTACAATGAGAGCATTTATATTGCTCACATTCATGGTAATGGATCTACTTCTATGCTTCCCTGGATTAGTATATGTTTACAGGAAGTTGTTTTGTTGTAGTTGGAAATGTTGTAAACCTGGACACCTGGCTGAAGACTGTATAGTGGATGCTAGCAACAAGGTTTGTCATTAATGCTTTAGGCATAACGTTGTACCTGCCCTGCTGTTCCATTCCATGAATTTATATATAACAATGTAAAAGTCTGTTAAAGTTTCTTTCTTTCTTCCTTATTTTTCCTTTTGACCTAGGCCATTGTAGCAGATAAGAAATCGAATTCCATTCCTAAGGATCTTCTCGGACTGTATAGAAGGTTTGGGAATTTCTTTCTTATATTTTTTTGTTATTTATATCCCCCCTCTAATAATCATTTTCTAGCTTAATGTCTGGAATGTGGAACAACTGCTGTAGGAATTAAGTTTTTCTCTCTAGTTTCCTGCTAGGGTGCTCTTGACCTATTCTTCTGTAAAAAGTTATCACCTCTGAAGAAGAGAAAATCCACTTTGCCAACTCTTCTTTCCTTGTTTCTTTGTCAGTTTTAAGTGCTACACTGAAGTGTGTGTTGTCTGGTTACAGTTGCATACACTTATTTTTTTTATTTTGATATCAATTTGTTGGAGGCAAACAATGTAATCATAAATATAATTTGTGGCAGAGCAGAGATAAGAAAAATGATTTCCCCCCATTTTGTATGAATTCACATTACACAAAGGGGTACTCTATTCGCTAATGAAAGAACAGAACTGGTTGATACACATCCCCAGAATCTCACTACATTTATGCCTCATTACTAGAAATTAGTTCTCATTGTATTTTCCAATCCCTGATTCATAGGGATTCCAACATAATTTTAATGACACATTGGTTCTTAACAATATTAGATGTTTCTATCCCTAACCAAATGTGCAAGGGGTACATCCAACTGGATCATTGCCAGTGCAATTTTATTTTGCACGGCGATCACTGAATTTTGTTATCTTATCTATTTAGACAAGTATGGTAAGAAGACTTTTACAGTTCTTTGCACTCGTTTTCTTGACTGTGATTTGCAGATGCCACCAAATTCGTAAAACAATGCTGGCAGCAAGTTGTAATGCATGTCGTGTCTCGTCAAATTTGGCAACATGCCTTGATTGTAATACTGTTTTCTGTGATGGGTAAGCTGAAGACTTGTATTCTGGTTATGTATTTTATTTCAGAATTATAACTAGCTTCTGTGTGTTAGAATTTGTTCACACCTTGCCATCATTGCAAGTTTCTTAACTCAAGATTTATGATTTTGTAATTATTGTGTGTGATGGTTATTAAGCATATAAGTTCATATTCAGGAGAATGTATCTTTCCAGTGAGATGAGGGAAATGTTCCAGTTCTATACTCTTTTTTATCTTTCAATACCATCATGTTTCTATTTGTGAATGATATAATAAACAGCTTTTGCTGTCACATGGTATTCTAGTCGTAGTAGGGGGCAATTGAAATCCAAGCTGTTTTCCTCATGAAATTTTATAAACATGGGCCTGAATATTGGCATTTGATGCAATTCTAATTCATGACCTTATTTCTGATGCATACTGAAGATTGTCAACAGCATTTGATGACATGATAAAAGCATTGATCATAGTTGTCATTGCTTTTTTTTCCCCTTAAAAAGAAAGACTATAAACACATAACATTCTGCTGGATGAAGTTTTTTTTTGTAAAAAAAAAAAAAGAACTATAAGCACATAGCATTGATCATAGAACCAGAGTGCACTTATCTTGTGTGGGTAAATTCTTGGACCAGCTTTAATAGCTAATTAGGTTGTTGATGATGATGAACTGGGGAAATATTGATTTTGTTTGAAAGTTAGACATTGAGAATACTTGATCATTTCACTAAAAAGGTTTTGGAGTGAAATTGGACCTGGTTGCCTGTTTTTTCCTGCAACCTTTTCTGAGTTAGTAAACCGAGAGATGAAGTCTTGGTTTCATGGGCTGAGGATTTTTCCCACCCTTTTCTTTGTTAGGATAGTTGTTTGCATGCTTATGGGGTTGTTACTTGAGCTATTGATAGATATCTTGTAAGGGGCTTTTTGGTAGAAATGGATGAGATTGTAGTGTCCTTTTGGTGCCCTTTTTTGTTTTTATGGTTGCTTTTTCTTCCTTTTGGTGCCCTTTTATAGCCCATAACCCCTAACCATCCTAGCTACCTCTTAACCCTTTAACTAATCCTTATTTATATATTTGTTACATAACATAAAATATCTCTTTGGAAAGCATAGGGCTATGGCAATTTCCTCTCAAAATTAATCTTCGTTAGATGAAACATGGATTCTATCAGTAGCTTTTCCTTTTTTAAGATATGCAGAGGGACTAGACTCCTTATTTGTATTAGTTGAAAAGGGAAAAAAAATTCTGCTCATTTGTAATTCCTTTCTTTATAAAATCCTTGTTTTATATAAAGTAGTTTTTCCTGGAGATTTACATTTTAAGTTGTTTTGGAGGACCAAAGGATCTACAATACAATTTGTGCTGACTGAAATACCTCTCTGAACATGTTACTAGTTTGTTGCAACAAAGTTAAGATAGGTTTGTTAGTCTCACTCATGGCAATAACTTCAGTAGACATATCTTTGAGAGCAACTAGTAAATTATTAAAAGCTTTAGTTTACTTTGCGTAGGATATATGATAACTATTGAAATTTTAACAATCATATTATATCTATTGAAAATTACAAGTTTGCTTTAGTGAAGTTAAAATGATTGAAAGCGGGTAATAATATATCTAAAATCAACAAATAATATTAGGAAGATCAGTTACTTTCTTATCAAATCTTCGTTTAGATAGGGAGGAAAATAAGGAGATAATACTATGAGGGAAAACTCCCAAACATGGTGTTTTAGCACTTTTGGGAGTTTTCCCTCCAAGTATTCTCTCCTCCCCATTTTTCTCTCTATCCAAGTGAAGGGTAAGAGTATTTTGGTGAGGATAAGTTAATATTTTTTTGTTTTTGTTTTTTTTTGCCACAACATATTTTGTCTCAGTCCTTCATAATAAATTACAAATGTAAAGTTTCTACTAATAACTAATGTAGTTTTTTGGTCTCTATCAATAATTTTCCCTAAAATGATTGCAGCAGAGTAAGTTAACACCGAATAAATGCAAGAATCTACTTGAATAATCATGCTCGAAGTACTATGTTTGGCAAGGAAGGTTACAAGGGTGCAATTAATGTGCATCCCTCCAATGTCTTTACAACATTCTCTGTTTTCTTTTTTGCTAGTTTTGTTTAAACAATCCAGATAATTCTGAAATTCCTATTTTCCAGTGCAGGACACTTGGATGAGCATATACGAACACACCCATCTCATCAGCAATTTTATTCACACAAGCTTAAACGTCTAGTAAGCTTCTACTTTATCTTGACCATTCTTTTTGACAGATTCCTGAGTTCATTGATTTGGATGTATTTTACGTGATTGGTAAATATCATGGAAGTTACATTATATGTTACTTTCTGCCATTAAAGGTCATTATGCCAACTGAAGTTTTTCAACGTGATGGAAGATCTTATTTGAATACTTTTTTTTTTGTTGGGGGGGGGGCGCTCCGTATTAGTGTATTCAGATTCCTGGTGTCCTGATTTTCCTCAACTTTTTCCCAGTATATGAGGACACATTTTGTCTTTAAATAAATTATCTTCAAGCTGATAGACAGGTGGAATACATGGGATTTCTTGTTGTTCTGTATCATTGGAAGACAGCTTTTGCCTTTACAAGAACTAAACGTGAAAGTTGAAAAAAGGTTTTTTTTTGTTTGTTGGGGTGGGGGGGTTGTAGTTCTACAGATATATGTATGGATAGGAAAGAGGAAGACTGTAGCGTTATATTGCCACGCTAGACTTCTGTTGGAGTGTTAAGTGCGATTGAAATAGATCCCCTGAAATTGCATTGCTACTGGAGTAAAGAGAGGAAAAAGAGAGGGATAGGTAAGTTCCACCTTTGTAAAATCCACATAGATAGAGGTGTGGCCTACATCGTTTTTTCCCTCACTTCATGAACTGCACTTCAAGAGATCCTGATCATAAGTGGGACTGGGAGTCTATAACGCATCTAGAGCTAAACATTTGAGGCACCAAAATGAAAGCTACATGACTCTGCAAAGAGTTGACAGTAACAATAAGAGCCGTTATATGCGTGTTCATGTTAAACGTAGTATGTAATATGTATGGACTATGGTGTTGTCCATGAGAGGTAGCGCCAATTATGAATGCTTAATCAGAATCCTGGTGGCTGGTGTATCCTATATGATGGTTCAAATCTGTATTCGATGTAGGTAAAATGTTGCAAGTCAACTTGCAAGGTGACTTGCATCAAGGATCTGTTGGTTTGCCATTACTGCTTCAGTAAAGCCTTTGAAAAATTCTACGACATCTATACTGCAACTTGGTATGTGATCTCAATATCATCATTCTCCAATCTCCATCTTCTACTGAAGTTGAAGCATGCAATTATACAAAGAAAGTTCTCGTTGAATACTTTACCATATAATGTTTGATGGGATCTATCTATTCTATTCCCTTTCTTCAATTCTTTGTTGCGTTAATTGCTTGTAAATGCAGGAAAGGAGCTGGTTTTGCAATTATTTCAGGTTCTATATGCTGTGAGGATCACTTCGCCTGGTAAAAAAAATTTTAAAATCGTTGCTGACTATTATACATTGTTGTCTTAGCGTGTTTGGTTTTATGTTGAAAATCAATGAGGCAGTTTCTGCGGAAGCAGCTAACTGCCGACTTCCATCAAAACAGTGATTTTGATTATTTCCAACGTGAAACCAAACATACTCCAAGAGCATGTCAAAGATTGTTTGGATGGAGAGAAAAATGGGAAGAAAATAGGGAAAAGAGAAAACTAGAAGGAGAAATTCCAAAAATAGTAATTTTTTAATCATTTTTAAGAGTTTTCTTTTCTTATTTTTCTTACCATCCAAACGGAAGGTAAGTGTCAAACGTTGGTGGTTTTGGCCTTATCAAATAATAACACATCATCGTGGAACAGGCACAGGATGAATTGTTTGAATGCAGACGTGGAAGAGACTGCATATATCATCCGGAAGAGTGGACATAAGAGCAAATATACTCGACTCAGTGACTTCATTTTTTGATGATTGATACACTTTTTCCTAAATTATGATTTGAAGTTTCTCATCAGATGTACACAATATCAGAGCAATGGATCGTACATTTTGCTAGAATCTTTTAAATCTTTGAGAGGAGGGTAAAAATATCATGTAGTTGAAAAAAGTTGCATGTTTGTATATAGGTGTTGAACTAATGCGGTTGGGTTCTTCCCCATTTAATTGAGGGGTCTAGCAGATCGAGTTCTTTGTTGGAGTTGGAGTAATCTAGTTTAGCTCTGGGATATTTATAGCTCTGTCCTACGCTTTCTCGATAACAATTTAATTTCCACGGAATGATTCGCTAATGATATTTTTGATCGATAAATTATTTTATTATTATTTTCCACAATAGAAAGCTTGTAAAGTTCAAGTGAATTTTAAATTAAGAATGGAATATTTGTGGAATTTAAATTCTTTATGTTGAACAAAAGATTGTTCTCAAATACATATATATATATATACATACATACATATAAATGTATTTAAAAAAAGAGAGAAAGAAAATGACCTGGGCAAAATGATGAGAGATTGCACGAGCAAGTGTGCGTCCGTCCGTGTGTATTTTCAACTAGTTTTTCGGGATCATAAGATTTTAGACTTGCAAGTAGTAAACCAGACAAGCAAATATTTTCCAATGATTTGATTTTTGCATCATTTTAATTTGTAATTTTAAAAAGATAAACAAAAATTTTTCATTAAAAATATTTTACAATTTTAATGACGGATCATTTAAATTTAAATATGATAAATTTAAAATAACTTTAAAGATAGAAATTGATTTTATTCCAATCAAATACTATTTTCTTTTCCATATATAGGTGTGTATTTCCTTTGTTGGTAAATGAATACTCATTTCATTTTAAAATATAAAGTATTTTTTAAAGAATTAAATATTTATTAAGATGTAATTATTATTTTTTTTTTTTAATGGTATCCATATTGATAAATAATTTTATATTTATTGTAAGATGTTTAATGAAAGTAAATATAAAAAGATAAGATTAATTTAAAAGTAGGTAACTACTTTCTTAAAATGAGATTCAATTAAAAATATTTTATATTTTTAAATGAAGGGAGTAAGTTATAGTAATTTTTACCTTTCTTTTAGTTTTAAATAATAATTAATATTTATTTTCTTAAATAAAAAATAATTAAATAAAAATTAAAAATGAAAACAATACCGGGGCTTTTATTTACAGAGGTAGCAAAGGAATAAACGAAAAAGTTTGTGTTGTTATCTTTTACTATTGGGCTATCGAAGAGCTGTTACGACTTGAGAAATTGATCGGAACTCTTAAAGGCAGAAACAAGCGAAAAAGATCGATAAAATCCGACTAGGTTATTCCGGTATCATCTGATAGCAGTGATTTCCAATCTTCTTCAGCCTAATTGTTATCTGCGCCTCTCAGGTACTTCATTTGTTCGCTTCGAGTGTTTCTCACGCAAATTCTGAAAGCAGGTTTCTCTCTTCTTATCTGCTTTTGGTGCGACTTTTGAATCAATTATCGCCAGATTGATATTATTTCTTTGAGAATACGAGAAACTCTGATTTCTAAAATTGAACATAATCGACTCGTCTATATATTTTTGTTCAATTTCCTTCGATGAATTTTTCCCCGTTCACTAGCGGTGACTTATGAATTTCAACTTTCCTTTCTACCGTTTTACGATACGCGTTTTGGTCTGCAGTTGATTTGGTATACAATTGATTATGGGAGGTCATGGAGGTCTGAATATCCTTCCCCAGAAGCGCTGGAATGTGTACAATTACGAGAACAGGGAGAAAGTACGGCGCGATGAAGAGGAAGCAGCAAGAGAAGAACAGTTGAAACGTGAGCAGGCGAGAAAGAGGGATGCTGAGTTTCGTCTGGAGCAGCTGCGGGCTGCTCGAGGTTTGGCTCCGCTAATTAAACCTCAGGAACCTGATGAATCAGAGCCAAAATCTGGCCACATTAATCTTTTTGAAGGTATTAAGATTTTTGACCCAATTAAAGGATTAGAAGATGACAGTGCTGTAGAAAGAGATGGGTCGAAGAAGAAGAAGATGAAGAAAGAGGATCCAAAGCCCAAAATTGTGACTCCAGATGATGAGAAATACAGGTTAGGTTATGGGCTTGCAGGGAAGGGGGTTAAGCTTCCTTGGTATCTCCAAAAACCAAATGATGACGCTCATAGTGATAATGGCTTTGATGATGATCACCCAAAGGATGAGAAAAAGAGGAGTGGGAAGAAAACATTGGAAGAGTTGAGGGAAGAAAGACTGAAAAGAGAGAAGCGAGAGAAGGAGAGGGAGGGAGCTTTGCTGCGACAGAAGCGCCAGCGCAATAGAGATGTTACTGGCTATAGGAAGTTTTCCAGGTAAATATACAAATATTGTATTCTAACTTTCTTTGGTGTATCATTTTTTTCCTCTTACGATTTAAATGATATGTCTGTGTTATATCTTTAACAATAACTTGTAATATCAGTGCGACTAAAAGTTTAAAGCGCATACAAAATTTTGCTTGGGAATTATATTGGGAAGAATAGATATGATTTACCGAAATGCATTTAAATTGTTTCTTTATTTTTTGTTATGTTTGAATGAATTGGTATGTTCTTTTTTCATTGATTTGATGTTTTTCTTTTTAAATTATCGGAGCAGGAACTCTTTTCGTGGTCAGTAGGTCGTCTTGTATGAGAATTAGCTTGTAAATTCCGATACCATTTTCTCAGCTTAATGGATACTTGTGTTATGGCAATGCTATGGATCTCATTTTATTTTTCTGCTTAAGGTTATGATTGTTAAATTTCTACGATTCTGTGGGCTTTGTTGAATTATAACTTGCCTACGTAGTGATTTTTGGAACCAAATGTGACATCATGCGTTCAATTCAAAAATAATTGGCTGGTGGTGCTGATAAACTTCATTGCCTCTTTCGTGTTTGTAGAAAATATTCATGAAATTTAAATTGAAGGTTAAGTTTTTACATTTCAGTGTTGTGGAACTGGATTGAAAACGTGAATGTGAGGACTACAAAAATAATTGGTGAGGATGTCATGATTGAGTTTTATGAGAGAATTCAACAGAGTTTGATATGTAGACCAATCTACTTTATTTGGTTCTATCAAAGGATTTGTTTGCAATTTGATGCATAGAGCATGCAAAAGGTGGATTATACATGTGACTGGCTGTAAATTTCACTAGGATTATTGTCCTAAATGGGAGTTCATAATTGGTTTTGGCTCGCTCTATGGTATTACGTTCTGATTTTTAGTATTTGATTTGCAGAAAATTTGATTTCAATTTGTAGTAGCATTAAGTTACATTTTTGTTTGATGCTGACTATTGGATCAACAGCATATTTTATTGTTGTTCGGGTGGTTACCACCACATCTGTTGTGAATTTAAATACGAAACAGGCCAAAAAGGTTTATCACTAAAACAATCACTGTAGTTGGGCTATGTTGCCGCCGAAATTGAACAAACCAAAGGAGTTTATATTCTGAAATTTTGAACAATTGTTGAAAACAGGAGAATGGTCAAGAATGAAGATGCAACATGATTTTCTTTTTTATGTGAAACACATCCAGTTTGTGCTTCATATCTTTGTATCCATTATCACAACAATTAATGGAATGCCTGGGCAGTGACCATTGCTGCATTTGGGCTTATGCAGAATTTGATTTACTACTTTGATGCACAAGACTTGTGAAAGTTGACGACTTGATGATTATTGATTAGAAATTTTGAGGCAGATTGGTATAGTTAGGAATTGTAATAGAATAATATAAATGATTGGTTATTCTATTTCCATTCGTCTTTCTAAACTGCTTTGGCATATTATTCAACAGGCGATGATCGAGGCAAGCGAATTTCCTGCTCCTTATCTAGTTGCACCTTGTTTTGCCCTAGTGAGGATCGAGGTAGCTCAATACATGGCAAATTGAAGGCAAATTCACTAGCAACTGCATTTCCACGACATTTCGAGAATATGAATATCACAACCTCATGAATATTGAGTGTATTAGAAATCTGCCCCAGCTTGATTGTAATTGCTTTAGGAATTACTTCCAGTCGAGGAAGATGATCAAAATTGTTTGTATTGACCCTGCAAATTGGAAAGTATGAAAATCAGCTCCACAGTGAATCGGGGGTAAATATTGGCTGGCAATTTTGATTACGCTGTTTTTCGGCTTACTTAACGTTGTACCTGCTGACAATCAGTTCCCATACTGAATAATCCGTTCACTGAGAATGTCACATTATATTGCATGGCATGTAATTTATTGGAACTGTGAAGATTTGAAGAGATGGAAGATAGTAAATGAGAAAAGAATTGGCCTTCTCCCTTCAGACGTATTTTGAGCTCCTCTTGTGATTTTGTCTCTCAGATTCACATCTTAAATCAGTTGCAATAGATTAGTAAATAACTTAGAAAGTACAGGACTGTACCAACAAATGAGCATGCCATGGCCAACATCGTTATTTTCCCCAATTACCTTGCCCAATACAGTACGTCTACCGTCAGATTCCGATTGAAAAACTGTTAAAAGTTGTACGAACATGAGTTTTAGATATATATGACTTTACAATCAATTTCTTTTGTACGAGTTTTTGAATGGCCAACAAAATAATCCACTCCCTACTCGGACGCAGGCGCATCATTTGCTGAAAACTCGCTCATGTTGCTTAGCGCCCCCTCCACCCCAAGTCATTTTCTTTCATGTCCTGTTCTAACTACCACGCATCATGAGTACGCAGCCAGCGGATAATATAGACATGTTCATTCTTCTTGATGAATCGCGTAAGCTGGTTGATTTTGTTATTTTCTGCGAAGTTGTCCACATTTTCTCCCAACAATAAGAAGCAAAATAATTTAGAACTCTACTTTTTAATATTTTCAACAATGGCCATTACTCAGACTGAAACTCTAAAAGGGATTCCACTATATCTCTTCCAAACAAGTGATGAAAAATTCTTATAATCAATCCCATAGGCATCGGGGAAGTGAAGGGGGCAATGGCCTGCTTTGAGTCGGATATGAAATTTCACAATGGATCACAAAATCTGAAATACTCTGTACCTATCTGTTAACCTATAGAGCTCTACTGTTACTATGGGCAAATTGGTGAAATAATTATTTGACCCCAAAAACAAAAAACTAAATTTCATACATCGGTTAATATTAACGAAGATACAATGACCACGTAAG